TGTCCGCATAGACTTTAGATTCTACATATTCCCACACAAAACGTAAAATTAACTGCTCCTTCAAGTGTTCTCTTAATAAATTGATGCGACGCGTGAAAAGTGTCGCCGTCTTGTTGAAACCAAATGCCGCCGAGATCACGAACATTAAATAGTCGATTATCATGGCGCGATAACGGTCACTTACGTTCTCACCGAAATCATTTTGAAGAAAAATGGACCGATGATTCCACAGGCTCACAGACCTGGATGAAATTTCTTTTCATACTGCTCTTGGGGAAAGTCGAGCGGTTTCAGGTCTTGCACAAGTTGTATGCTTTTTATTTAAGTTCTCGATGTAACGATGCATGGTCTTCGTGGACACTATCAGCTATTAACAATGCAGCAATTTCCGAATATATTGAAGCGATAACTTCCAGGGGTGATCCAAGTTGCTTTCTCCCAAAATAAATCCTCAGAGTTAGTGCTTTTTCGAGCGCAAATATTGACCCAACAGCTTAAAATTAATTGATGATTGATTTTAAAAAAGATATTTAAACAAAAAACAATTTCATTTTTCTTCCAGCTACTTGGAAATTTGACAATATGCTGCTGCAACTTCAAAGAAACAGTTATACGTTGAGAGCAATGCTCTTCATAACCATCACCTTGCTTTCACTGCTCAGTCCAACGAAGGTTGCTGGCGGCAGTATACCATCGACGCATAAAAACCCAGCACAACAACAACAAATAGCCGCACAACAACAAGTACATATGCAACAACAACATCCGCTACAACATCAACAACAACAACAACAAGTGGCAGAAATCCATCACAACATGAATCAACAGAACACCAACGCACAGCTGCGATCACACGAGCAACCGGAACAAATGTTGTCAACACTATCACAACTATCAACAATAACAACAAGTGGCAGCAACAATCCAGTCAATCATGAGTACAGCATGAAAGACGTTGGCGTAGATGAGGAGCTGAATGAGCCATATCAATATTTGACTGACTTGAAGGTAGAACCACGTTTGACCACTGGCAATAGCTTGCCATGGAATCCATATGTGACAACCAATTCGCCATTTACACATATGCCGGGAATGTTGACTAATTTGCCTTACAACCCTTATGGCGCAATTGGTGGTGGTGGCGCATTACCACCATTGGTGACACCACGACTGATGCCGTTCTTCAGCTACCCACAGCCAGTTTTCATACCGTTTCCGATGTATTTCGCACCCACAGAATTACTCTATTCGGGTTATGCCGGCCCTAGTGGTAATGAAATCGAAGAACCAATGCCCCGTGCAGCTAATGATCACAGAGCGCAATCCGCACATTTCGACACCGCACCGCCCACTGGCTCCAGTGCAGCTACCGCTCGCAATTCACAAATCTACTTCATGCGTTTCGCTCCAATGCCTTATATGCTCATGCCGGGTCTGAGCTTTGCATCGGCACAATCTAACCTGCCCGCTTTCCAACCGTATACGGTACCTGCTATTAGTCCGGTTTTGAATATCCCACTGAATTTCGTAGCGAATGGTAAACCCACAAATATTTATCAAATAGGTGGCACCCCAAATGATTTTCAAAGCTCCGCTAACTTTAATAACATTAATCCGTTCGGCATGCGCCCTCCGTCACCGTTATCTTCAGCGTTTGCTTTTGTCGGCACACATAGACCGACGGCTGCGAATATTGCGAGCAGTTATTCGACAAATGACGCGTTTGGCCCATCGACATCACCACAGTCTGCTTTGCAGGCGCTTCAGCAGGACTCTAAAATGACGCTACTAAAGCGTCCCTTCCTTTTCAATGGACGTCCGGATGAGATCTACACACTGCCGAACAATTTTAATTCACTCTACCCGAACTCGGCATATTACTAGGAACAGAAGCGTTAAGTGCAGCATTGGAACTGATTTTTAAAAGTATTATGAGCGAATTTAGAGAAACTAAAAGACTATATTTTAATAAAATGATCAAGTGTTTCTAAATATTAACTTTTATTTATAAAGTTGGAAAGTTGTTATTTATATTGAAGGTAATAAAAAACTGTTTTAGATATTAATGATCGAAGCAACGATTTTCTCCTCCCGCAAAACCGATGCGAGAGATGTAAACCGTTATTTACCGAGCGTCGAAATGTTGAATTTTCGAGAGATTCTAACTTTTGGAACAAGTTTCTAATATAGGCCAAAGTGCTAAAAAGTACTGTTGTAATATGCGAATCTATTAACTTTTTATCAGCTCTACCCCAAAAAAATAAAAAAAAATAAAAAAAAGTTTGGGTTAAAGACTTTGAAAATGCATAGCATTAGCATTCAAATATCTAGTTTTAGAATTTACTCAATTGTCCGATTACTCTAAACCAACCTTTGTATATATCACACGAAGCTTTACCATTAATTTTTAGAGACTATATGTACATATATATTTAAAAATAATCTTGCCAGTCAATTTTACCTGAATTTTTCTGCAAGTTCTAAATTTTTATGTCGAAACTAAACTGGAAGAAGCTCTATGTTATAAATAATAAATAAATGATTCACCCTATAATCGAAAAAGAAGATTGAACTGTTACTAAAACCCAAGTAACGAGATGGAAATCTTCTCAAAAGGAGGTTCAACTGTTTAACTACCATATAATGCTACTATGTTGAGCAATTATTTCATTTATGTTAATGGATGATTTATTCTCAGTTTAATTTGCCATTTTATAATTTTATAATAAATAGAACTACTCCGGAATAAAGTTTGCAGATTGTGCAAATTTATTACTAAAATAAAAGTTCCCTTCAATAATATTCGGTGGAAATAATCGCCCCGCTGAGTCGGATCTGTTTTGCTAGTGGTAATGATCATTCTCAGAAGGTGAGAATGCTCACCAAAGACGCTATTGCTGGTGTGAAGCAGAAGTCCCGAAGTAATCCATCCGCCATTGTGCGCACTGTAGCCATCCACTTTACGAGGGATTTTGCGGAAGGATCTCGTGTAATAATTGAAGCCAAATGACTCTTAAGAGCGTCGTATGTACGATAAATGGACTCAAAATGAGATGGCCTGTGATTTCTATTTTCCCAAGATTTTTTATCAATGCTTTTTTAATCAATGATGCAACTCACTTCTGATTGAAAAACAAAATTATCGCATTTGTAGTGATGATAATCCTGTCATTCTTGAGACACCGTTACATCCTCAAAAAGTCACTGTGTGGTGTGCTAATGAAGAGAGAGTTGGTTCATATCATTTTTTCAACAATGCAGCCGATCATAATGCTTCAGTCAATGGGGAAAGCTAAAGACACATTATTAATAACTTTTCGTGCTTGAATTGGAGGTTGTTGATTTCAACCCTCTTTGGATCCTACAATACGGCGCAACAATTCGTACAGTCAACGAAACAATCAAATGATTGAAGTCGACCTTTTATGGACGCATTTTTTTGTGGGGCTATAACGGTTGATTATTTAAAGGTGCTTTTTTGCCTAGCCTTTTTAGACAGATCACGAGTGAGTCGTGTAAAAAGGTCATGCTATTTTTATTGAGCATTGTTTGGCATTTCATCATAAAAGGACTCACGCTTGAACAATGTTTAAAAATCGCTAAACTTTATTACGAAAATGCACGTCTTTTGAAAAGTTCCAAGATGATCCGAAGTTTTAGCGCCAATTTTCGTTTAGTGATGGAGCCTATTTCAGGCTCAATGGATATATAAGCAAGTAATATTGCCACATTTGTGAAGAAGGGTATTATGAAACGATTCAAGAGCTTCCATTTTATCCAGAAGAAAAGGCGGTTTCTTATGGTTTTTGGGCCGTTGGAATCATCGGTCCATATTTCTTCAAAAATAATGCCGGTGAGAACGTAACCGTCAATGGTGACCATTATCGCACCATGATAACTGATTATTTGAAGCCTAAAATTGAAGCTCGTGATCTTGGTGACATTTGGTTTCAACAAGACGGCTCCACTTTCAACACATCGCATCAATCAATGGTTTTATTGAGTGAACACTTCGTTGCGCAGATAAATTCACGTTTTGAGCCAGTCGAATGACCACCAAGATCGTGTGATATCACATCATTAGACTTTTTACTGCAAAGTCTAAAGTTTATGCGGACAATCCCGCTTCAATTCAGGCCTTAGGACAAAAGGAAGTACAATCTGAGCCGCAGTCAGCATTTGAAAGAGATAATTTTCAAGAAATAAATATCACGAAATGTTCCTTTGAATGATAATAAACATTCCCCCTATAAATTTGATTTGTAAAGTAGGGAACCTCGAAATGAATCACCCTTCATGAAGTCGTTTGTCTAGAAAGCATACAACTAGACAAAGAGTATCAAGCTTGAAAAAACGAACACATTCGTTTTCTTCAGCAATATTTCTCTAGCGAATCTTTATACATGAGATTGAATTCATAACACTCAGATTTCTGTGTAGAGATGCATAAATGTTTATCATTATCGAAACATACAAAGTAGATTCCTAGATATTCATTAATATAATTATTTCTATAGGAGAAAAAAATTATTATCTAACATTATTATAAGCACCTATTGCAGCCTAAACATCACGAAAAAATTAACAGAAGAAAGTTAAATATTTGCAAAAACGCATAAAAAAAAGTTTATCCACCCACCACGATTTCTGGCAAGCATTCGATGGCTTCCAGCCAATTTATTGTTGACGCCCTTTGAATAACAATTTGCTGTACCGTTGCATACAGCTACAGAGCGGCTCATACATGGTGCGCATGGCCAGGCAGGTGTAAAGTCACGCCAAAATTGATCATAAAATTAATTGCGCTTGACCGTAGCATTGGAGCACACGTGAATTGCGGTAAATAAAATTGAATTGCAAATAGTAATTACAATTGTAATGAATACATCAATAGCAAGGATACAATAAAGACACGCTTAAAAGAAAGAAAGATACCAACGCATGTGAGGCGCTAAAACTGAGTGCAAATTTCCATCAATATCACCAAAACAAGGAGTAAGATGAACTGCCAACGGAGCTCACTCCTACTGCTACTGCTTCTTGTATTGCTTTGCGTTTGCGCGGAGTGCGATGGCAAAAAGTGGCGATCGCACATTAAAAAGAAGAGCAATGCACCCAAAATATCAGCCACCTTCCGCACAGGTAAGTTAAAATCGACAAATCTTTTTTACTCTACTCATAAATAACCCTTCTCTCTCATATTTAGTGCCACCGAAACGCAAGTCAACGCCGAAACATCACGCAGCGTCACATAAACGCAACCCAAAAATGAACTACTATCATCCGTTGCCCTCAAAGTGGCCCACCCATATGTCAAGCCCATTGCCATCGAACTACTATTTGGCCTCGTCGTATTATCCTCGCTGGCGTGCCTACCACACATCACCGTCGAAGTCGGCACTAAAGAAAATTGATTTGACGCCACCATTTAAGCCGCTGCCCTTTGGTGGCTACTCAATGCCACTGCGGCGCTCCGATGATTTTGCTGTTTCGGATAGCAGCAGCGATGCTTTGCCGCCCTCCACTTTGGTGGACATGAGTGCCTTCAATGCTGCAATGAATGATGGTTTCTTCGATACTGACTTAACACATTCTACCACAAATGGTGAGTTTATGCCACCAGAAATATCGTTAGGCGGCTGGACACCGGTGGAGTACAAGTCATTTTTGGCAGATGCCGATTTCAGTCTCTGGAACGAGCAGTTGGGTCTGAATCGTCGACTCGATATGGATGAACTTATGTACAGCAATCCTTATGAAATGCATTTTATTTGATTACAGTTATTTAAAATATTAAAATCTTCACCTATGACGTCTTAAATAATTTATCCTTAAAATACTATCCTTAGTATTATTTAAACAATAACATAATTTTTTTAAAATAAAAACCAAAATAATGTTCTTTTATGAAGTTATATTTAAGTACAAATGTGTTTCTTGCTGCTTTAATCAAAGTATTAGATGATTAATCCGATTTTATTTTTGCATTAAAGTTACTCGCGGACTCGTACTAATCAATCCTCAAACTAATCATCATCATTTCCGGTATCTTCCATCTGCTCCTGTTTTTTGCTCGAGTTTCTGTATAAATTTTGTCATTTATTGACTTATCAGTAACTCCGTGCTGATACATAGCATACTTGTAGGCGTATTAAAATTTCCACCTTCATTGTATAGACATACTACTGTGGGCAAAAAATAGTAAGACATTGTAATTTAAATTTCGAGCGAAAGCCTATTCCTCGAAAAATCATTGTTCCTAGGTTGGTATGACTGTCAATGATATCTGCGTCAAATGTCATATCAAAATAATCATTAGTGTTTAGTATACGCTTGTCTTACTGAAATAGATAAAGTGAATTCGGCGATTTTTTCAATGAGTGAAATTATTCAATGCAAGAAGTTACATTAAATTTTGTGCGCGGTATTAAATTACTGCCGCTGAAACATTAAGAATGTCGGAAGATGCTTTCGGTGGTAAATTTTCGTGGCGAGCAAATGTTTTTGATTGATATTAATTATTCAAAGAGGGTGAGAACGAGTTGATGACGGACCAAGTCCAGGAGTGTCATCTACATCTGCTGACGATTAATGCCTGAAAAATAAAGGAATTGTTGCTTGAGAATCGACAGTTAACAGTCAAAGATCGTACTGACTTCGTTGAAATATCGGAAGGATCAATGACAATTATTTCGAAAGATCATTTGGGCCTAAGAAATGTAATGCACGATTGGTTCCAAAATCACTCAATTTTTTTGGAAAAAAGCGTCGCGTGAACGTCTCTGAAACAATACTTTCCAACTACCAGGATGTCATGAAACGTATTATGACTGGCGATGAGTTTTGGATCTATGCTCAATCGGCTGAATATTGTTACAAGGAGAGCCGAAGCCGACAAAACCATGTCAAAAATCAGGGATATGTTGACAGTTTTCTTCGATAAAATCAAGCATGTGGCATTTTCTTCTCATTATCTTTTTGGAATGCGTTTAATAGAATAATGCTTTAATTCATGACGTATTGAACAGAAGAGCAGAGAGAATTTTACTGTATAGTTGCTGCCTGGCCTAGGAAATTTTAATAATTTCGACTCGTTGTTGGATCGTATAAATCGGTCCCTAAAAAAAACCGTTAATATTGCTTCGAATCTCATTCCCAACTAACGCCAAAAGCGCATTGGACCTAATGATGGTCTGAGTGCGCCCGTATGTTGCGCCGTACCCTTTTCAATCAACCAACCAACATACACCAAAAAAAGTCTTAAGACCTACTTTACCAATCAGATGGTGATATTCTATCATAAAATAATAATGTGAAAGCAGTTATCCCTCCATGCATTTCCAATTTCAGGGTATTTACAATATATAATTAATTTTCTAGAAACAGACGATATTCTTTAATACATAATTTTTTTTTAATGATATGACATTTCTATAAATATATTATGATATAAGAAGTAGTTAAATATAATATGACTTCTCAGTAACTTCATAAATATGATTACAGCAACTCATACTTCTCATATTGTGTGAGTGGGCGACGTAAAGCCTCATGCCCGAGTGTCAAACATACTGGACTGTCTCTGTACACACCCTGTGCCTCTAGAACCGCATGCGGCGCACAACGCCAAGGATCCGCCGTATTCACTTGCCACTTAAACAAACGAGCACTTAACTCCTCGAAAACGCGCTCATATTTGGATTTACCGAATAAATTGTAGCGCTCCAAGGGATCCGCTTTAATGTCGTACAACTCCCATTCCGGTCTTTCGTAATAGGATAGCAGCGTCTTATACCATGGATATGATTGCTTGGCGATCGTCGCGTTTAAAAGATGCTGAAAGGAGGGCGATGTGTATAGATCTTGATCGATGGGGAAGTATGACCAAAAGTTTAAATTGTGTATTAGTTTATAACGGCGCGTGCGTATCATGCGCATTGGATAGGTCATTGTGACCTCATGGAAATTCTGACTACCAAATACTGCATCACTTTCAACCGGTTGCGGTTCTTTGTAAAGTATTGGCAATAACGATTTCGTAGCATCATCCTTGGTCGTATTTGCCGTGGGTGTATAATAGTGGAAAGCATCCAGCACTGTATTGAAGACATCCAGTAGACTAGACATAGCGCCAGTGGTCTCATGACGGCGCGCCTGGGCGGTTGGCGAAGCAATAATCATTGGTTCACGCACGCCATGCTCGTAAAAATTCGTACGTCCACCTGGGAATGGTGGTCCGTTATCTGAGGTGTAAATAACTAACGTATTTGCGTCAAATCCATGCGCTGCAAGCTCTTTCAGCACGACGCCCACACCTTGATCCAAGCGCGATGTGGTCATATACTGCGCAGCCAGCTCCTGACGCACCACATCTGTGTCCGGCAAATGTGGCGGCACTTCCAAGTTGCGCCAATCATAGTAAATCGGTTTCCAATCGGGTATAATGCCCATACCCTCCTCACCGGAACCCCAACGCTCACAGAACTCGCCATATTGCGGCGTTATATGTCCACAACGATGTGGATCGTGAAAGCCGACAAGCAAGAAGAACGGACGCGCCTCCGCGCTCGCCTTAGCAAAGAAATCACGCGCGTAATGTCTAATTCTCGTTATGTTGCGTCCAATTTGATTGATTGAATGCTGCTCCTCGGTCTGCTCAAAGTCAAATTGGAAATTAGCGCTAGCGCCAACATGTTTCTTACCAATGATGCCGCTAAGTATCCGTCCCTGGGACTTTTCGCGCAGCACATTCGGCAGCGATGTGGTGCCGGGCAACACATTGAAGTTATGCACGCCCTGGTGCAGTCCATACATGCCGCTACTGTGACTCGCCTGACCGGTTAAGAGTTGTGCGCGGCTGGGCGAACAGCTGCTCACCGAGGTGAAAGCATTATTGAACAGCAAGCCGCGCTCAGCCAATGCGTCCAGATTCGGTGTCTGACAGAACTTGTTTAAGTAAGCGCCCGACTCGAAACCTGCGTCATCCGCTAGCAGTATTAAAACATTCTTTATTTCATCATTCGACTTCGCGCTTACACTTAGCATCTGGCACGAGGCGTTGATAAGCGCCAACAATGTGATTACACGCCGAGTGGTCAGCGACATTTTGCATACGTAATCGCCCGGTTGTTTTGTTTATTTTAGTTGTTGCACTTTGTTGTTGAATAAATATAATTGATTTCTAGTTTTGTAAGTGAAAATTTCAGCAATTTTATAAAATTTAATTACAAATTTAATAGCAACAACTATTGTAGAGCGACACTCGCCATCTGCAACAAGAGTCGCCGGCTTACTGACTCAAGTCCATTTATCCAGCTATGACTTAAACCCGAGATTCATACATTTACACATACATGTGTGCTTGCTTGGATATTAGTGCAGTGGGGTCACGTTTCGTATCTCGTTTGCTCTACTATTCATAGCTGGAGTCAATCTCCAGCTGCGTCAGTTAAACGAAAAGGCATACAATGCCAAGCTGAATGAATGAAAAGCGGTTTTGAGAAAGAGAATGTATTACAGTGCGACGAGTACCATAAGTTATTAGTCAAATATGTTTTTTTTTTTTATGTAATAACGCAATATGTCATTTTATTGAAATATTTATAATATTATTTTTTATTTTTCTTTTTTGAATTATTTTATATTGATTCTATTTCATTAAAGCAGAAATTTTCAAGATATCAAGAGCGAGAAAAATCTGTTCTGTTTTTAGAAGATTAAGAGTATGTAGCCATGTATAGACTTTCGGTTTTAGACCAAGTATCCTCTGGTTCGACAACAACCACCAATGAAAAGAAGAAAAAAGCCTTGGGAAAATTTTTTTTTCTAACAAATGCAATCAAAAGTAAAACAAAAGCTTATTCCACCATAGTAAAAAGTCAAAAGCAAGCCCATAAATCTCAATTTTTAATAAGTACAAGGTGCGTTCCAAAGTAAAAAGGACTTTTTGAATCAGCGCGCCCTGGTGGCGCCATCTATATGTCGACTAGTGCGTTAGAATTTTCCATCTTTATCGATTGCCGATAGCAACAGTGAGAATCTTTCAATCGTAAAGTTAACTTGCAAATTATCCACTAATAAATAATATTATATATAATTGTCTTTCAACGCCTTTTCAGCGCGCTTTAAAATGTGTCACATAAAATTTTAGAAATATTTTTTACTCTCATGGCCCACTGTCTTATTACAAAGCGTTTGCTGACTAATTTTGGCGATTGTGCGTTTTAACTTAAAAGTTGTAGCTTGCTTTCAAGCAAAGAAGGTAGAAAGTTAAAAACAAAAACACAAAAGATACAATGAAATATACAACCCATTGTCTTGCTAGCTGATAAATTGAAACTTAACCCTTCATTGCATGAAATTTTAAAAAATCAAATTAAATTATATTGTTATATATATTATATTATATATATATATATATATAAGCTATTCATCGAATATAGTAAAAATTGTGGTGTTATAATATAATAATTTCACGTATTGTAGTATAATATATATTATTATATTATATAATAGGTAAATCTATTTTTTCAATGAGGTTTTAGTCAATTAACTCAATGGATATAAGACTACATGATGAACTGTCTATGTAAATATAAATAAGAACGTATGTCTATAGAGGTTCTTAGAGGTATTTTATCACCTAACTATTATTCTAACCAAAATCATCCAAAATCATTAACGGAATTTAAAAAAGAGCACCATAACAAAGCTCAGAATTCATTTTTTGATTGTATGGCTTTCAGCAGAAATTAGAATAATTACACTTGACTTTAGAAAAGTGCCACCAATGTACATATATTAAAAAAAATCGGTTTGAAAATTTCCATCAAACTATAAAAACCTGTTGTCTCCAAACTATTAATTAATTTTAGTGGTTGGCCATCGTCTAGCACAATAATGGCTGTGTAAGCAGCACACATTTTTAGTTGCAATTCAAAATCCACGTGATATTCGTACCGAACTCACACTACATATATGTATACCTACATACTTATGTATTTCGTTGCCGTCATTTGACAATTCCAATATTTGCAATGTCTGCAACAATATTGCGCCGGTTTGTCACTCGGCTTTTGATGCAGCGCTTCAAGAACGCAACGAAGCAAAGTGATTCATCGTTAGTCAGTTGATAGAGAATGTAATATAACATTTCGGCCACATTTTTAACAAGTCTTGTGTAATGAAGTAAACGATTTCATCATCAATTTACACATACTTTATCCCCAGACAAACCGAATAGTGCAAATTTTCTCATTCTCCATATGTATTTGAGCATATACAGGCAGCTGCCAAAACAAGAATATTCGTATCGATATTTTACGAAGATAAAGCTTTGAATTTCTCAAGTTAAACAATTTAAAAAATTTAAAAGCGTGAAGCGCAAAGATTTCGCACAGCAACACGAGTACGCCAAATCCGCTGTACAAAGGTAGCAAGTCAATATTCCAATTCGCACTTTCGCACGCTCAGTAGAGAGCAACACTTTGGCAGTGTTGCTATGAGAATACATTTCAGTGTGTGTCTGGCATATACAAGTATTTGTGCTGGTATTAAGTAGTGGGAAATTGAGTAAATAATGTATGAACAGTTAGAAACAATCATTACTTAATGTTGCCACAGTGGTAAAAAATAGAAATAAAAGTACTTTCTTTAGTAATCACCTTAACAAAAATATATATATATATTTTTTTTTTTCATTTTAATATATATTTATTTCAACGGATAAAATGTATATTTTTTTTTTATTTTACATAAAATTCGCTTAATTCTGCAACAATTACACTTAGTGTAACAGTTTTGCTTAAATTATATGGACATATGTATATATGTATATTGCCAAAATCCACCTATTTGCGAAAATTATAATACTTTTGGAAAAATTAAATTTAACTGGCAGCACTGAAAATATTCCATAAGGTGCCAAGGTCAAGAAATTAAAGCTTATCCAGCTTTAAATTTTTTGTGGTTATCCTTGTTGGTTGTTCATTACAGTATGCCCTTAGCCTTTACAAAGGAATAACTGTAGGTTACCGAAAATAAATATCAGGCAATCAACTCTCCGGTATCGATATACTACATACCACAAACATACATTGTAATTGGATAGTAAAGTGCAAACTTCACAGTAATTTAGTGTGTCTGCTCAAACAATGACATTGCTAATTCAAGTCGTGTACTTTTGTAATCAGAGAATATTTGAAGAGCTGCATATGATAGCTCTACTTAAGCTACAAAAGCTATATGATGTAATACCGTAAGCATAAAAGAAATTGGGATTTAATACTGATCTACTTTTATCATTAATAAATTTTATATAGAAGGCAAATCCCGAAAATATTGACATTTCGGATTCGAGAGCTGCATTTTCCTTAGTCGGTATTATCTAAGCTTACATTTCTCATATAATTTTTTCTGTGTCTTAGAACTTAATCAAAAGTGTTAATAACTTGAAAAGTTGAACTTCCATAACTCGAACTCTTGAATTAGCAATAGAAGTCAAAATTTTCATAACACGAAATCTCTCTAACTGGAAGAGTTTTTGTGCATTATGATGATTCAAGTTAGGGTATTTCAACTCTAAATCATATTTAAATTTAAATAATTTTCTTTAGAGCCGAAAACCGAACCTAAATTAGCAACCCACTAAATAGAAAATTATCTATGAAGACTTATGATGTGTTTCTCCCCTTGAAAGAGATCTAAAAGACTTATGAAAAGGCTTTTTCTTGATATTTGTGTCAAAATCATGACGTGTTTCTTTCATATGTACTAATTTACATGACAGTTCAAAGTAGAATTTATAGCATGAACTGATTTAATATGATTTCAAACAATAATTGTAGATATTTGTCATGGTTCCAAGATAAACTAAATTATCTAAAACTTCAAATTTGACTCTAAACTAAGGTTTGTGAGCTTAACTTTAAATGCGCTTACTATTTATTTGAATAAAGACGATTTTTAATATTTGAAAATTTTCCAAAATGTCGAAATATAACAAATATTTGAATTAAAAGTTTTTCCAGACAGCAATGCTTGTCTCAAAACCAGCTTAAAACTATTTCTTATTCAGGAAGTACGTTTTTAGAATTGACAAGTAAAAATTTCATTTGCCTGGCACACGATGCGCCGATATTTATTATATTTATTTATGCACTTATATGCATGTAAATATGTATATAAGTTTTCATACACAAGCCTTTGCTTTAACGAGAGCGCGTCTACCGACTCTCACATATTGTCTTTACTCATTGCGACCTTAATCACAAACACACGCACACATTCTAAGTACAAACATGCCTCAGCTGCCTTCAGCCCCACCACTTTGTTGTCTATGGCATAGCGATACCCAGTGACGACAGCAAACCCACTTTCATATTCACGCGCAATATTCGGATTTCGGAATTCGTATTTCACTATCACCAGCCATTGGCGGCGAGTACGTTCCCAGCAATATCTTAGTATCATATTTACGTTCAAAGTGTTCAAATCGCAAAAGTCAAATCATTCGCAAGCTCGCTCGCTCGCTCGCTTATTACAACAATAAAAAATCGTTCAACCTCAAGCAACGTGGATCAATCAAAAATAAATGCTAAATATCGAAATAAATAAATAAAAAAAAAATACAAAAAACCAAACGCGAAGCTAAGTTCGTACAAAGGTGCCGACAACTGCAGTGTCGATTGCAGTAAAAGAATAAGTTTGTTTTCGTGGAATATTCGGATCAGCTGTGCTGTGCATTTGCTGAGTTCGTCTAATATTATATCGAATAAAAGCGCAACCGTTTCCAAAGTGAAATTCTTAAAATTAATCCAATCGACCGCTATAGCAATAAATGCTAAATAATAAATCTCATGTCCACACAGCGTCACAAAGCGCTCTGAATTGCGTAAAATAATTCATGTGATCTTAATGCTCGAATATCACAATTAAAGTGTTTGACTGCAAAGATTTGTAGTGTTTATTTTAACAATTTTTGTGTGTGGCCATAATTACCACACCCCGCGTTGTCTTTAAGCATATATACCAAGTGAGTCTCTAGTGATAAATCGAAAGTCTCAATGGCATCACCGGCCTGTGAACATCGCTACAAGGATTTCATTTTCATAAGTTATTAGATTTTCTCTTTATACCCATTTATAAAAACAACAACAAAACTCTCAATATATATTGAGAGCCTAGTTACAAGTGATATCAATTGAAACGTATTTTAAACTCTGCGATAGATGCATTTTAATGTCAAATTTAGTTTGTGCTAAAGCAAGTATCTCAGCTA